ATTGAAAAACGACGGGGCTAAACTTGTCACTACCGTCCTGACAGTATCAACGGTTGACGCAGTGCTACTGACAAGATCTGTACCTGGGTGTCACTCCCTACTCAGTAACGCGTATGTCCTCCACGCGCAGCAATGCATGCCTGCTATCGGCGTGGCATGCTGTCAAAAAGGAGGTGCACTTCCTGTTGTGGGATCTTTTGCCAGTGGGCCACCAGTGTCAGCTCCAGTTCGTGCAGCGTCGCAGGAGGGTCCAGACAATGACCACGAATGCGACGGCGGCCTAGGTTTTCCCACAGATGCTCAATTGGTTGGAGAAAGATCCAGGGAGGAAGCCGGCCAAGGTAGGGTAGGCAGTTGGCACTCTGCAAGAAGTTGGTGGTCACTCGGCACGTGTGGAATCTGCCGCTATCGTACTGAAAAGTGCTGGCTGGATCATTCTGAAGGAAGGGCACCAGTACTGGCAGCAGGATTTCATCCACGTAACGCTGGTCAGTAAGATTCTCATGGAAGACCACAAGTTGAGATCGGCCGTTGAGGCTAATGGCTCCCATACCATGACGCTGCCTCCACCATAACTGTCATGCTCCGAAACATACGCCTCCAGAAACTTCTCAGTTGGCAGGCGACGCACTCGAATTCGCCCATTATTGATGTCTAAGCAGAAGCACGATTCATATGAGAAGACAGTATCCCCCCACTATTGAATCAGTTCTGCTATGCACAACATCAATTTAGTCTGGTCTGACGATGGACTCGTCCTAGGGGGATTCTGATGACAGGTCGTCTAGGCCGAAGCCTCAGCTGGATTGCAAGCTGATACACAGTCCTCAAAGAAGTCCTTTGGCGCGTCCTCAGCCAGAAGTACCTTCCTTTAACACGGGAAGAAGCGAATCGGTCTCGGAGAATCTGCATCCTCAAATACCGGTCATCTATGGGCGTCGTAATGCGAGGGCGGCCTGATCCTCGTTGCCTTTATGGTTGCCCCCATTCTGATAACGACTCCACCAACGCCGCACGGTAGTCACACATGCACTTAGCCGATGCCCAACCTGATGCATGCTAAGGCCTGCCTCCGCCTTACGAAAATATCCTGTAGGATCCGAAAAGACTTTTGAAACATAAAATCTCATAGAATTCCCATAGGATTCTTATAGGATTCCTATAGGATCCTATGCTATTTTTATATTTAAAAAATCTCATCGAATCCTATAGGATCTTTTCGTAAGGGCCATCATGCCAACTAACTGACCTCAATCGATCCGGTCAATTTGGCGAAACTGTATTTGTGGACGTTGTCCTGGCATGGCTTTAAAGATGAAAGATAAACAAATGAAGCTAAGCGGTGTGGATGGAGAGAAGCAGAAAAGGAAACTGGCCTTATCGTTGTAGCCTCCCAATTTCCCACCCCTCGTGGCGTTTGGCTAGCTTGGAATGTTTTCCCTGCATGCGTCATCCTATGACTTTGAAACTTTGCTCCACTGTACTAAAATTTAGTAGAAGTTCCTGTTCTGAGCTTCATTAATAAACTCCCTCTAGATGTTCATTGTGGGCGATGAGTACGACCCATCCGACCCCTTTTAACTTGGAATGTTTGGCATGTTTTCTCTGCGAATATTCAACCTACGACTTTGAAACTAGCATCAATTCCATGATAGACTAATGCCAGTTTGTTTGCCAATTTTCATCAAGATCACTTAACTCCCTCTTGGTGTTACATTTTTTTGGCAGTGAGTATATTTTGGGGAATGAGAGACCTAAAAGCTTCACCATCATTGATATATTCTGATGGAGTCAAGGAGATTAACCAAAAAAAGACAAGGCTGGAATGAAAACTATCATAATAGTAAAAAGAGGAAACCCAGGATGATCATGGAAACTGGCTCTCGGAAGACCATAACCATATCCATGGCATACAGCTGTATTGTAATGCTGGATTTAAAACTTTCGAAACCTCTTACACTATATCATATATCAGAGGTGTAGATTCTTACCTCAGACACACTTTCTCGCAGAATATCTGGAATGAACTGCTCTGATAACGACTTTCCCTGTTGCAGGGTATTACCGACGATTTGCAGCAAAACTGTGATAAAGCTTGAAATCTTATCTGACTCGTGCTCTTCGCCCATCTAAGTGCGTTGGTTTCGACAAAGGAAGGAATCATGCGTACCTTCAAGTATGACAGGGAAAGATGTGACTTTCCTGGTCTTATGCCAGGATCTGACTGTATCCCCATATGGATGTTGCATACAGAGGTTTTTCATTCAGTAAACTCATTTGATACAGTAGAAGTCTATTTGCTCTTGCAACTGTAAAGGACTATATTTCCTCACCTTTCCTTCTCGAATTTAGAGTTTGCAATACTCTCCCCCCCCCCCCCCCACCTCCTCGATACAACTGGTATTTTCGGGCACATAACCTACATTCTAGGGGCCTTAATGAGCTTTAACAGCATGGCCAATGTCAATAGGGTCCATCATGAAACTATTCGCCACTCCGCTCTAATCTGAGATCGATGTCACCGGTATTTCCCATGGTAGGGAGGATATACGTAGAATGTGAGTAGTCACCTTCCTGCCGCATTTTTTTCATCGAAATATGATTGCTCACAATGATTCACTATACTTGCAAACCAATCTGTGCAATGAGAAGTGAAATTTCATTAAGTATTTTACGGATGTTATGACCAATCTGAATACAATGTTTCCCATTGGCTTTTGTACTTCCTGCGTACTGCTACGTTCCAGAGATATTTTTCTACGTTCTTTCAATATGAACCACACGCGTTGCGTAATGTTTTGTGCTTCCTTTTCTTCTCGAGGAGCATGTGCTGCTCCAAATGAAAAGCCTATCTAGCAACCCTAGAGAGAGAATTGAAAGTCTTATCGATAGTCTTCAGTACTATCGCAGCTCGTGCAGGGTGCTTCAAAAAGAATTGGTTTTTATTGTGTTATGTTGCAATTGAATTTAAATTGTTGTACTGGTTAACATGGGAAGAGATTAAGCTTTCCAATGCTGAAGATTGCACGAAGATCGATGAAATCAGAAGGGAGATACAGAAAGATTAAGTTAGGAAAATTCTGACATACTGATGAACCACCGCAAAGAACCTTAAGAAGAGAATCCTGCAAGGGAGGGACTCGAAGAAGCTTGTGGGTCACACGTGTTCTACCGGGAGAATCTTCACTCCATTGCTGGATCTTGAGCATATGTCGGCAAAATGCCGCTGGATTCATTGAATGAATACATCTTTTTGGCGACCCATCTGTCTCAATCTCCCAAACCAGAGCAGATACAAGTCAGTCAGCAGTAGAAAATCCGCTAAGCGTCGGATGGCGTGTTGGCGTCGAGGAGAAGCACGCTTTGTACATGTTCTTTAATAATGTCGCATACATTTATTCAAGTCTAATTTTCACTGTTCCATATCTCGGTTTAGATGAAGTCGAATTTCATGTCCTTTTTAGCAGATGAAAGCTTAATTTCTTCTCTTTCTTATTAACGCAAACTTCTAAAAATCAAGTTACGTATGAAACGGGAAAAATTAATTATTTTGAGACGCCCTGTACTGCACAACTACAAAACGTCAACCTGCATCCAGCAGAGCTGGACAGCAAGGTGCATTAGATGTGAATTTGGAATCAGAGGGACATTCTGCATTAGGTGGAGCTACATCTAAAGGGACATCCACCTGATTCAAAATCCACCAGGAAGTAGACGTTTTGGAAGAATGTGCTTGGAGACCAAACGTTCATATTTACGGACGACACTAGTGTACTTCGAGAACAGACCACTAGGTGACTGAAATAGGAATTTCGCGTTGCGTTTATTGCCAAAATTATAACAATGAAAAACATGGAATTCCGAGCTTTTAATAAAATAGGAAAAAACGATGAGAAATGAAAACGTTTAAGTATTGGAATCAATCTTCTTGGGACAGAGAGCTACCATTTCTGGTTGTTGCTGGCAGCATTGTGATTTTGGTCTGATTCAAATGAGCATATTAGAACGTTCTGGAATGACTCGCATATCCCTCACACTTCTCTGCTATAAACCCTCTAATGTTGGTCTGTTGTTTCTAACAGGGAAGCATTATTTTTCATTTCGGTTCCACGTCCAAAGTGCTCTTAGGTGAAGCTGAATACTTCATCCATGGTGTTTAGGAGAGGGCTGTATTAAAGCAATAAGAATAGATTGCGTCCTTTCTCTCAGAAGAATTGCATATCTTCTTCCTTGCGTTGGAAGCCATGCATTATACATGAAAAAGGTGGCCGTCCCTTCCAGGACATTCTTGAAAGGATCTAATAAATCCAAAAATACTTGAGTGTTGCATGACGCCACATCAAAAAACTGGTCAGGACCCCTTGGAGACCAATGTAAGAATAAAACTCAGATTTCTTCTTGAGGAATTCGGTTATTCTCCTGTTGTCTCTCCCTGATCACAATCTTTCCAAATCGGCTTTGAATGTGGAGGTTGAACCAATTATTGTCTATCCTTGTCAGTGTTGCCCCAACGCTACCTTTCCTTGTCATCTCCCTCGCAAGAGATTATGCCGAAGGCGATAAACTGTGTGGGGTGGAAATTGCCAATCCTGGACTCCCCGAAATGACATCCCTGTGTAAAAGAATGGAAGATATTCGGGCAAAATTCATAGGTCCTATCCATCATAACCAAATGGCTTTACAACAGAATGAATAAAACTGGACATTCATAACCTGGGATTGTCATAAGCTCGTCAACATGATTCAACCTGTTCGTTTCTCCGCCCACGATCGGACTCGCCGTGAACCACGACCCTTCAGATCGCCCTATACTTGTCCAACCCTAGCACGCAGGCGCAGGCAGGCGCACTCGCAGACATCTAGCGGAAAAATCTCTTACTCGGGTTTCTCGCAACCAAACTTATTTTATGTTGTCGTGAAGCCACGTACAAATGTTGTTTTGGGCGTCCGATGAATGACAAGTAGATATTTTCCATGTACACTTATGTGCGGTAATGCAAATGTGTGCGGTCTTTTCCTGGTCACCCTAGGATGTTACCATGTAAACTTTTTCTGGTGGTTTTATGTTTAGAAAATAAAAAAGAATAAAATATTTCACAAACAAATTTTTTGTTGGAGAAAGTATGATTCGAGATTAGCAGTAAAATTTCCTCGGAGCTCATCTAAGACAGGTCTCAATTCGAATTCAGTGATAGGGTATGGTAGGATTCCAATTTAAACTTTGGCCGTAAACGAATTTGTTAATTCGTAGCCGCCGGAACTCAAACAGGAATTATTATTGCAAATACGGACTTTTTCCATATCCACCCTGAAATTTTTCAGTCATCCTTTCAGCAGCAATTTCTCATGTAAAAAAGTATATGCTACATAAATCATACTTTGGCTTTTGAATACTTAAAAAGAACTTCAATGGAAACGAGGAAAAAGGATAATCCAGAGAAGCTCTTGCGACAGTTACAGTTTTCCCGACGTATGACATTCCAATGCAATAACTTTTCATCAGTTAGGGCATATGAGAGCAATATGGCTATTGGTGTAGTATGCCCGTCGCATTATTTCCCCAAATATGCTGAACATGGGACAATGGAGGAGTATTTATAAAGAGCAAGTTTTTTTTACCTTTTAGGCAAAAAACTATGGACGTGCCGTTGGCGCTCTTCGATTAACGAAATTACGAATGTGCTTAAATATTTCGTTTTTGCAGCTCACCCCTAAGGATACGGTCAAACTCCATAGTTAATGGCTTGGCAATTCTCGCGCCTTTGGCGCTCGCACCTTAAAAATGAAGTTGCTTCAGAAAATATTCAGTGACGTCATATAAATTCCAGCATGAAGATCGCTTGGAAAAAATACACAGTAAGTCGTTTCGTGTTCCTATAGTGAATTCAATCCGTCCAATATAGTCCATGGTTCAGGAAACGTGCACATTGTTCACAATGTTCCAGGGGTAGGGTGGATCCGCCACCAGCCACCACATAGTGTTATCAGGCCAGGTGTCTCTAAGGGAGTGAGCTATTTGTTAAATGGCATGGTCATCGTTAGGAAGATCATTTTGTTTTATTATATTTATTTTGCTTGATTTTATTATGATTTTAAAAATAGGATTAAATATATTCTAACGAGTTTGTATGTCCGAAGGGCAAACAAACTCGCTATGGTCGCGCTTTCGGCGCTCCATTACCTTGGATAGTGATTAATTCATTCATTTTTCGCGAAATGGGAAACACGTATTTGAACAACATCCTTTTTGAAATACGTGACAAATTGGGTCGAAAGTCTTGATTTTGATCAAAATCATTACTTCTATGATTCTGTGTGTGCCTAACTTGAAACCTTTTCTTCTGTCCCTTTTTGTAAGGGTGGAATATAGATTTTGAAATACTTCTCTCCAATAATCTACGCTAAGGAGACATTTAAAAAGTAGAATTTTTCCTGTTCTCAGCCATGAAACAGGTACTTCTGAGGAAAGTTTAAAATTTCTGTCTCTGCTTAGTTGGGTCAAAAATTTTCAGGAAAATGGAAAATGAAAACTCCCTGCCACCCAGTTTCCGGATCTATCTCTCAGTTTGGACATCGGGAGCTGCGTTTCTCGGTGATCTGTTGAGTGACGGTCGGGGTGTTCCTTCGCTTCAATGCCTTAATTGAACGCTTTTAATATGGCGATTTTAATGGTACGGCGATAAACATTCAAGTTTATGTTAAATTAAAGTTTGTGTTTTTCGCGTATTCGCTCTGTCATCCTGATGGCAGATTTGCCTTTCAGCATATCTTCATTCTTTTCCATGCTGAACGTCACAGATCTTTCACTACTAACCCGATTCTTTTTGCAAATTGTTTATTGTTCCTTTTGATGAGCCGTTTCACGGAGCTATTTCTCCAACCCTTCCTGAGGAGTTGACGGAAGAAACCCGCACAAGTCAATCCTTTCTCTTGATAATACTCCTTGATAATTGCATATCCGCCTTCACACAACGCCATCTTGGACCACTCAACTCACCAGTTATACTTTTAGCATTTAGGAACACGTAAACCTAACGTGTTACAGTTCTTGGAAGTAGCCCCTCCTTTGGAACTGTCTGATATGAGATATTTTTAGGTTTCTTAGTCGAACAGTTGCTGTGTGCATGCAGAAAATATAGTTAAAGAGTAGTTTGCTACTCTGGAAGCAAGGAAAATCCTAGTTTTCTTGGGATCGATAGGAAAGGTAGTTACACATATGGTTGTGCTCTGTTGGCTTTAGCCTCTTCCGCAAATTGAGAAATAGGTGCGAAAATCTTGGCGCATTTTTGAAGTGCTACCGATACGTTATGGACGTATAGATTCACCCTAAATATTGGGAGAAATATTGGGAAAAAAATTAGCCCTTCACGTTCCTTGAGATTAGCCAACTAGAGGCTCCCAGAGCCCCCCTCAACCAAACTTAAACCAATTTATTCAAAAAACGATTGGTCGCGTGAATATGATTACGAAACAATATTACTTCATTTTGAAATGGAAAACCATGTCCAAATCACACATATCTGTGCATGATAAAACGGAAAGAGAACTTATTTTCCTGTGGAGTTTAAACCCTTTAGTGCAACACAGCCGATTTGTAGGCTCAAAACGAAGATATATAGCTCCCCTGGCGTTAAAGTTCCTTTCAAGTTACATTCCTAAATTCACGACTCAAAAAATATTATATTTACCCATTTCTAAACTTGAGAGCAACAGTGAATAATTATTTACTGCTTGATAGATCTTAAGAATGCTACGTTTCATTCAATTACATTAAAGGAAAGAAATTTCGCTAAAAGTAAAAATGAGCATTCTCCAGATTCCCACTATAATTTGACAGCCGCGAACATTTGGTGAAACTCAAAGCAATGCATTAATGAATATCTCTGAATCTGCGTTTACGAAGGTCAAAACTTTCGAATTAGTTCCATATCTGGTTTTGATAGAAAGTGTCTCCTATGAGATGCACTTTTAAGGTGGCCAAAAATAGTCCCCAAACAGATGTCTCCATATTTTCTCGATCGCCTATTGAAACTCCTGCAAGAGATGTCATACATAGCACAATGAATCAAAGGGAAACTAAGAGTCCTTCCAACTATGAGGAATTCATCGTCATCGATGAACAGAATTTCGAGCAATGAACAAAGAAAGATAGGGCAAAATCAACTTCGCTCCTGCGGTCGCTAATGTTTTTTGGAATGGTTTATTTTGCCACTGAATTCACGTACACTTCCATGGAAACTCTTAAGGATTTTGGATAACTGGTCTTGTTGATTTCTTGCTGCCCTGTTGTATGGTGTTTCCTAAGCAGTCATGTAAAGGATGGACTATATCTGGACCATCATCTGAGAACCAATCAATTTAAAGAAACCTTTATAGAATCAATCGGAAACTAACTACATCAATGCATACATTCGAAGCTTTTCAAGTAAAAATAGATTTTGAAACAAGTATGTACCAGATATGATAGAGAAATGTAACTGTTAAATTAACGTGCGTTGGTATGCTATATATTAAAGGCGAAGGCAAAGCAAGGAAAACTCGGTACGTCGCTGCACTGAAAGCTGAACTTTAGAGAAATTCACGTCAGAAGAAGGAAAGGTTGAACCGATCGCCATATCTCACGTCTTTGGTTGACGGATGCATATATACAAGGGCAGCCAAATGAAAACGGGACATTCTCAGTGGTGTTTAAATAATCCCACAACCAGATTTAATTTTACTGCCCCTCGTATATCGTGCACATCTCCAAAATTGAATGCATTCATGCAAATTCTCGGATGACATCACTATTCCAGTTCATCTTATTGCCAACCTCCGAAGTCAGATTATTTAGTTGAAGCTTGTTCACTTAAAATTTAGTTAAAACTGGGGGCAGGGTCCCATTGACTAAACTGTGTACCCTTAGTGGGCAACAATTGGAGAGCTCATATCCTAACTTTGACTCTCGAAGTGGATTACGAAAAGGTGCATCAAGATAAGAAAATCTAATTTTCCTTTTTTTCATCAATGGTTAGAAAGGTAATGGATGTCGGGCATTTTGGAAACGTTTAAAGACCTTGGAAAATTGTTTAAATGCTCTTTAGTTGTTGTAATTAACATGAGCGACTAGCTTCACCTAGAATTTTGTATTATTCGACAGTGGAAATGTAGTGTTCATATTACTCTATGCTCTTTTTCTGATTTACCTTTTTGTCATTGTCGTTCATACTTAGTGACTTCACGCTTGGCAAGGTTCATTTAGGAAGCATGTTTTTGCTGACAAACTAATGTAAATCAAAAGTGATTAGTTTTATCAGTTCATGAGCGTCTCCACTGAATTGAAAAAAAAACTCTAAATATATTTTTGCGTATTCGTTTAAGAATCGTTAGCTATTTGTGCAGTATATCTTGTGGTCTAATCCTAGTAAAACTTTGGTTAAGGAGTTGCCTGCTGCGCTAGACATTGTTTTGTTGGATATGTGATGGCCATTTTCGGGATTGGAAGTACATGCAACCAGGAATTTTCACTGACAGGAGTGGATATTACCATGCTGTTTCATTTTGGCTTGCAGTCAACGTAGAATCGTTCCATGCGAATATATGTAGTTTCGGAGATTCCTAGGTAAATGCGCACTTTCAAATTCAGGATACAGTAAATGTTTGATAGAATTTCATGCAATGTGAACTGTTGCTGTAACATGTTACGATTGATAACGCTGAGCTGAATGACATCTTCAGTCCAGAATTGTTCAGATAGGGTGTACATATATTCTTTGTTGCATTGTACGTAGAAGGATTCATGGGATGGGACTTATCGCAGGATTGATAAACCTTTTCGATATCCACAAATCTACGTGGCGGATGGCATGAACCGGGCACCATTCGACCCCATTCAGATGCCAGGATGCCAGCAGAAAGTAATTTCCTTCTCCACTCGGCAAGCTGCATGTTTTAATCAGATATGGACCAACTATTCGCTCTTGAGGGCTAGGAAACTAGCCAGATTCTCGATGATTCAGTCGTTCTTGCCTACCCCGCTCAGCTCAACCTCTGAAATTGTAACAAAGAATGGAAGTCCAGAGGAAGTGAGGAATTGAAATTGAAAGGATGTAACATATGAGATTTCTGCAACGGGCATATATATTTTCCTGAACGATGTGAATCCAATGGATGTCATTTCTCGCCACAGAAGTCCTGTTTCGATCGAAGTTGCCCACTTACGACCATTAGCTGTGATGAAGAAAATGCATTAAAAAGAAAGATAATTTGCAAGGCGGCAGTGAGGAAAACCTTATTCAAGTGGGACTTGGATCTCTGTCACGCATGAGATTCGGTTGTGAGGAGTGATTCAAGATTCAAGATAGTTAGTGACATCAAGAGGCGATTTCGCCCATTTCGATATCACGTGTCGAGGTCGAGCGTTCTTGAATTTTAGGGTAGGCCTAACCCTCTTAAAGCTATATATTTTTTGTATTTTTTTTTTA